ATTTAAAAAAAGAATCCATACTCTTTCTGTATGATGTGTTAGAACTACTTAGCATCAAGGGTGCCCTATATTTTCAGTGTAACCTTTCCTAGTTATTAAAGCAATCACAAGTATTTTCTTTCTGTCAGTGTTAGAACCTTATTTACCAAGGGCAAGTCTGAACACAGCGTGAACTAATAAAGTTGTTTTTTAAAGAGAGTTAGACAACTAATAAAAACAGTGCATCAGTTCTGCTGCAGGAGGCAAAAAAATAAACCCCCATCTTATAATTAAGCCATCAATATACATTACATATCCCAAAAAGAGGTGGGGTATTTCAACCAAAAAAAATTTCAAAAACCATGAACAGGAAAATAAGATGGAAACTCATGAAAAGTACAGATAACATCCACTATAGAAATTATTTTTCCAGGAAAGAAAAATTATTCAGAACTAAATAATCTATTCTTGAAACACTTCAACAGCCAGAATGTAATGGAGTATCTGACCTATTATTAGGGGTGTGAAGATAATAGGATTAAATTGGCGATACCTAATTAGAAAAGTGTGCATATGTGTACATGGATAATAATAAGAGGTACCTTAAGGCAGGCATACATGATTGGGGCAGATTGAGGTTGGCATAAATTAGATGAACTAATCCAAAGACTACCAGTTTATATGGTTTCGACTGGTGTTTGAGGAATTTTAGCACATTTGATGGCCTTGGGAATGTCTCTGCCTTTCCTCTTACTTAAGTCCTCAACAATTGCCCTGGCTTCTCATTTAAATATTGAGTAGAAGTTTTGGTTTGCTCAACTCATCCTTAGATTTTTTTATCTCTGCTGATTTCAGAAGTTGGGATAGAGTTCAAAGGTTCTACAAAATTATGTCATGCTACCTACACACAAGAACCTGAACTAGAAGGCAAATGGGTGCTAGACAAAGGTCAATGGACTTCAAGGGTGGGGGTGGCTTGTCTTAGGTCTTTTATGGGGGTGTAGAGACTCCAAACTGATGATGATGTGTTTGAACCCACCCACGGGCTCAGCCTGGTCATCTCCTGAATCAGATGCCCTTGGCCTTCAAAATACCTATGCTGCAGCTTCAGTTTATATCTTTAACATACAAGTTTCCTGAGGCTGAAGAAGGAATTCTTCAAAAATCTCTAAATGATAAGCTCTAAATTGTTTCCTACAAAATGTCATCCTGCATCTGCACTGAGGTTCACTCTTAATTCAAAGTTAGAAATATTAAAAGGCAGGCTATACTATAGTTAATCAAGGGAACACATGTTTTATATAAAGCAGTACAGAATAAATCATGATCATTTATTGTATGGGTGCCCAACATTTTTGGCTTGCTTGGGCTACACTGAGTGAAAAGGAATTATCTTGGGCCACATCTAAAAATATATAATATAGTTGTATAATATAAAATCAAATAATGATGTTAAAAGTTTACGATATTGTGGGGCCACATTACTAGCTGATCCAGGGCCATGAACTGGATCACTGATTTATAGCCATGGATGCCTAAATTGCATTTAAACCTTTAATTTAATAGTCCTTGCTTGCTCATAGTGCTTACAATTCTTATTCTGGGGTCATGTTCTTAGTAGGGATTTACTTCATGTTTGGGAGTGCCTGAAATGTGAATCCTTGATTCTATATTATAGGTACAGGTAGTCCTCGTCTTACAACAGTTTGTTTAGTGACTGTTCAAAGTTACAACTGCACTGAAAAAGTGACTTATGACTGTTTTTCACACTTATGGCCAGTGGTAGGACTTGAATAACAACCAATTCTCTGGCTGGGTAAGCATGGCCGGTTGGTGATGTGACTGGGTGGGTGACATCTTTCATCACACCCAGCCCAGCCTTCTGGCCGCTTGCCTCAAAGGCAGAGGTAGGATTCAGCCGGTTGGGGCTAATCCCACCATTGGCTGGACCTGCCCATTTTTTGGGCTGCTTTAAGGCAATTTTCAGGCCGTTTTTGGCCTAAAATGCCCCCCCCCAAAAAACGGTCAAAAAACAGGCAGGGGCATGGCCAGCCAGTCGGTGGGATTTGCTAATTCGCTGAACTACGCAGAATCTTAATTACCGGTTCACTTGGACCAGTGCGAACTGGCAGTAGTCCACTTCTGCTTATGACTGTTACAGCTTCCCCATGGTCATGTGATCAAAATTCAGATGCTTGGCAAATCTATTAAAGTGTCCTGGGGTCATGGGTTCATCTTTTGCAAGTTTCTGATAAACAAAGCCAATGAGGAAGCCAGATCCACTTAACAACCATATTACTAACTTAACAACTGCAGGGATTCACTCAACAACTGTGGCAAGAAAGATAGTAAAATGGGGCAAAGCTGACTTAACAACTGTCTCGCTCAACAACAGAAATTTCGGGCTCAGTTGTGGTCGTACGTTGAAGACTATCTGTATGCACATTCGATTCTGGAGTGAGTATATAGCTGGAAATAACAAGGGAAACTCAGTTGCAGAAAATAAGGAAGTCACCAACTAAACTAATATTGAAGAATTAATATACAAAACAGTCTTTCACTTCCACTATACTTTCTGAAATTAGCATATGCCATAGGCAGTCTGAGTAAGTGAAAATATTAATAATCCTATAACTATAATTCATAAATCAGGGAGTTCCTGATGTGAAACTCTCTTCTGCCATTAACAAATGACGTGACCTTAGGCAAACTTGCTTTTATTCCCCTTCCGCAAGACAGGAGATAATAATTATCATTCACTTTATAGGATCATAAGAAAGACAACTAGACAAGGCAGTACTCTAAACATGTAGGAATGCACTAAAAATATTATAATTACTGCTTTCCAGAAGAACTATCCTTCAAATCTTCTTCTCAAAATACTTGGTAATCAAAAGTTTGGTATTTTAATATTTGTACACAGAGCTACTCCAGTTGTGAGAGAAAAAAAGGTCTAATTACCTTTTTAGCCCTCTAACATCTATATATGTTAGAGGGCTAAATAAATTTCTCCTTAGAGTCAATATCATGTACTCAGAAACAGGCTGTTATTTAATATAATATTTTCTTTTATCAGTCACCTAAGCATTAGATTTTAAAATCGAGTAAATGTGGCATTTTTCTCAATGGTTTCAGAAGATGCGGGGGGCTCGTGGAAATATACAATCATGCAATTAGTCCCTTGTAATGGAAATATTAATAGTTCTTTTTGGGCTTGTTATTTCCTAATCACATAGGTAATTAATGACTATTCATGACATTGGAAATAGCAAAAGTACACTAAATGGGAATGGCACAAGGAAACAAACCATATAATTATATACTAAAGAAGGAGATTAGGAGAACGAATTCAGTCCACTCTGTGAAACAGTATTAGCTGTCATGCTATACCACGTTATTGAGAAGTGTCCCATTCCAGAATAAAATATATAGTCTTACTACTCATATTCAAACTGAGCAGCCAAAACAATATGCACAATCAGCAGATTTAAAAGGTGTATCCTGTCATACAAACCACAACAAAAGAATTTTGTAAACATTTATACTTTGCTGCAGATACCCTTTGCAGTAAATAAGATGTTGAAAACAGAAATAATAGAAACAAAAATGTACAAAAATATTTTAATAATGTAACATATGAACATGAAGCAATACCATATAGGTTTTAACATGTTTTAGACAATATAATATAATAAGGACTTGATTTTAGCATGTATTTAAAAAAAACTGTATTATGAAACAAGGGACAAAAGCAATGTAAGCAAACAAAATTATGTTTTTCATATGTAAATTAATAAGGTATAAGTAGTGAATATATCAAAAACATAGAATCTTTTTTATGATAAAATGATTCAAATGTGTAGTAACTTAAAATACTGTAATGAATAAGGGGTGTACTTTTATTCCTTAATTACACAATCTAATTTTATAGAACAATCACTGATCTCCCAGATTAATTCAAAAGATCCAAATCTTCAAACCTGCTGAAAGAAATCCATTCGACATTTGAATCAAACGTCACCTTCAGTAATTACCTAAAAAATAAAATATTCTCATCGATTATCCATTTATTTTGTACAACAGACAATCCTAGCGTCTTTTAGATTCTTTCTCACTTTCTGGAAACAATGCCCCACTACACAGATATTAAGTACTAAAATGAAAGACTTCTTGGATTAAATCAGAATAATTTTCAATTATGGTTTCAATTTGGAAACTATGGTTATCAGGAAGAGAACAACTGAAGACTAGAAAGCAGATTATGGAGTTAAGATCTGAAGTTTCATCAGAGCAGATGGCAGCACCTATGTGATCTCAACTGATCCTGATCAAAACTCTTACCAATAGTACTTAGATGAGAGACTAACAGGAAATCCCTACAATGGTTTGTACATAAAATATTCAAGCTTAAACTGGACCAGAGTTTTAAGCACAGATCTTGCAACACAATTTAAGTGTGGCAAAAGACTCTGGAAGGCCTACTCAGTAGACATGATCTAGCTTTAAATTAGAGTCATGCTTTCTATCAGTTTAATTAAGTGGTATTTACATATCTTATAACCCTACATAAATGTTTCAGGAGTCAAGACACTTCTTAATTTCTAAAAAAGAAAAGAAAAGCAGTGACATCACTTTGAAGTGACATAACCACTCTTGTGAGTCATTCTTTTCAAAGAGTACAAAGCACCTTTGGGCTATTATTGCAACATTTGTGCATATTTTTGCATAACAGGAGAACAATCTAAAAAAAGCCAAGGAGGGTAAAGATCTTGGGCTTTAAAGATACAATCTTGAAGATTATAAACTGTATCATTGTACTTTATTTCAAAAGATGGCGACACTTCATAGCCCTGTAACCATAAATGGAGCCAGAGTCTCAGGTATGCTAAAGCAAGGACCAGATCAGACTTGTACCCGCCAGCTGCTCGAGACCTACTAGACTGCAAAATGATAGATCCACAACTTTTTGAAGAAGCTGTGCTTACTAAAAGCAAGCTAACAATCGGAGTAGAAGATACTACTTACCTTCTGGTGCGATATGTGCTCAGTTCATCTTGTAGAATCGATGCTCTTTTTTGTAAAAAAGTTACCTAGAAAATAACAGCAGTCATGACTGAAGAGCTTCTAGTATATAACAGACTTATGAATATATCTGCTTGTGGTTCTTCAGATATATTGCTTAAGCCCTGTTTATGGCCTGATAATCTAGGGATTGATGTCCCAATGTCAAACAGCCTAAATAGGGATCAAGTGCATTTCATCTTCTGAGAATACTGTCCATGGTCTATGTTCATGTGGTAATACATATTTGTTTTGGGAAAAAAATGCAATCCCTAAATTTTGTTTACAAGAAATGCGAGATTTCAAAACTGAACACTGGCATAAGAATACCGAATTCTGCAATTTAAGCATCAACATTAATGGATTACACATGTCTTTGTGAGACACAGACATAAGATTCTACTTTTGAAGGGTGATCAAAAACACTTTGTTGGGAAAGTAACGTTATAAGCGTGCTATAAAAGTTCATTAGCAAAGTGCTAGGATAGAAGACAAAGAACACAGTGAAAAGCCTCAAAATTGAGGAGCTGGAGGCAGCCGGCATATTTTAAATATAAGCAAAGCTTTGTTTGAGAAGTGAATGTTTCCTATTTATTCGTTGTTACTGCTGCTCTGTTGGTGTTTTTACCTAACTAAGCCCTCTCATTCCTTTGGAACAATTCACAGCCCTGACAGGTGCAAGGATTCCACTGTTCTTTCTGGCTGATGTTTTTGAAACAGGAATTTCAACAATTTTCAAAGAAGACACCTGTGCTTCAGAAGCTGTTAAGAGAACAGCCTGTAGCTGGATATTGTAGTTCACTGCACAGGCAGCTGCGAGCTATGCTTTGTATATGAGCACTCACTTTTAAAATTCTGGATACTTTTACTCCTTTGAAATGTTATGTATGCTAGCAGAAGCTTTGAAGACTGAAATAAAATATCAACCTCAAATTCACTTCACTGGAAGCTGGTGATTTTTCAGTTGTTAATAATGGTAGGTTTGCATGCCAGTCATAAATCACATGTATTATTAACTAATTTCCTAGATAATCCATTCTTCCCTTTTATTATTTGTAATGGCAACACTGGATGAACCTAAGCACCAGCAGGAATTCCTTCTCAAAATCAGTGGTAGTATCAACAACACCCATAAAACATCTGTCATTATCAAGAGGGAACATGGTACTCATTTGCCATGACAATTCCTTTAGTAATAGCATTACAAGGTGACAAATCCAAGTGCAACATTTCCAGAGGAAAAATGAAATAACAACCTTTTTTGAGACAATGTGAATTGGAAAAATGAAACTACTGAAGGTTTTCTAGTCTTTGATTTTAGCTGGGTTCCTATCAAAGTCTTAGTAATTACAAGAAGTTACAGATGACCGGTTCATATAGTTTTTTGTCATGCTATTATTTTACTAAATATATCTACTTTATTGATGATTACCTTGTAAAGTGTGAATTGATTTAACAAATATCCTTTCATCCCCTTGATCTTGTTATAAAAACCTTTGGTATTAAAGGAATGTCAGGGCAGCAAAATTATTCTAAGTAACAAGTGGCTCCTAAACGTTCTTGCCTGAAGAGGACTTAGTTCATCATGGTATTGGAATGTTTGCTTGTTCAACAATAGACTGAAAAATGTAACTTCACAAACCCCAATTTGGGACCCCACTCTTTCTCAGGTCTGTATCCCACCATTGCTGCATGCCCGGACAATAGTAAGCAGTGACATATTATTCTCCCCAATGCAACAATGTCTTTTTACAGAAACCATACATGCTTAAAAAACAAAAGATGTTTATGCAAAAACTATCAAATTTAAAAAATTATGTTCATGTTTAAATATCAAATGCTAGAACCCTCATCACTTAAGATATCAAAAAGGCTAAATGTCTCTCTATATATTGGTGCAGAGAGAAAAAAAACAGAACTAACTCTTGTGAGCAAAGGTTGGAACTAGCTGAGGGAGGAAAAAAAAGCAGAAGCAGAGATGATGAGCTATTAATTGTCAAACTCCATTGCTTATACCAGCATGCTATGGATATTTTTGTCAGCTCTTTGAACTAGCAAATCCTAGATTACATGTTACTGTACTATTCTGACAAATGAAACATAAAATCTTTACCTGAGATTTTAGTGATAGAATTGTGTCTTCAAGTTCTTGTCGCAAAGATGCTGGCATTAGACCTTTCATTTTGGTTTCATATTCTTGCCGTATAGAAGTCACCTGAAACCATAGAAAGCAAGCATTTCCAGAGTAAAGATTAGGTGAGCCAATTAAAATTATTTAGGGGCAGTCACTACCTACATGTTTGAGGTAATATCTATATGAAGAGAAATGTTGACATGCAAGAACAACTGTGCTGTATTGAACCAAACTGAGTAATTCCTTGGCATTCTATTCCTGTTATAAGGCTATTATTTTTTATTATGTAATAATTAATAATGTAATAATTATGTTATTATGTAAACAATGTGTGATAGCATCTGCTTGTTTTATAACTATTAAATAATGGTCATAGAGATTCTATCACAGATGCTGCCTGTAGATATTTATAAGTGTTCTGTTGAATCCTCCCCCAATTGCAACATCCAAACTAAACAGATCATTATAGGAATAGTTTTAATCAACCTATCTTCAGCCACTTCCTGCTCCTACTCACTCTTGCCTGTTAATTCAGAACTGGATCAGTTCTTTTTTTGCAACCTCCTCCCACGTACAATGTAAAGGATGTCACAAGAACGATAAAGATAAAGAAAGTTTCCTTAAATATGCTACACATTTAAAACATTTTGCTTCTAGATTTACATCTTGGATATGGTGAAATTCATTTCCAATGCTACAGTACTTCCATCTTGATGCTGAATAATTAAGATAAAATAGCTAATGAGCCAAACATAACCAACACAATTTTTTTTTCCAAAATTCTCCAAATTTATTTCACATTTCTGGCTGCTTCTCTTCAAGGTTTATTTTCCCAACACATGAATGGCAGCACAGTTGGTTCTGTTCTTGTTTTCTCATTCACTGACCCAATTATATTCTGAAGTATACCAAACATGCTACTTTTTTGATGATGCTTTTTCCTTCCATATCAAATGCCACACACAGAACTTCAACTTTTGTTAAGATTGTATATGTTTATGAATGAAACTGAATTTCATTTGCAAAAGGAAGTCTGGAAGCTTCCTTGCACAGAGGTAAGAGTGAAGAGAATAATAAACAAATAATCAATATTTTTATTGAAAAAAGCAACAGACAACTACATTCCTCCCTCCCCTCCCCATCCCACTGTGGCTGGCTTCTCTTGACCAATTATGCATTGTGGGTAAGCGAAACCTGAATTTCAAGAATACCTGTTTGTTTTCTGTTTCCTACAGAAAACAAAAGGAAGGTACGGTTCATATGATATCAATCTGTTTAGTAAAAATGGGAGCAAGCACTATACGAGCTAAACAATTTTACCATAAAAATCTACCAATTTTTAACATAAACTATAACAACTTCCCATATACAGGTAGTCCTCAACTTACAACAGTTCATTTAATGAATATTTGAAGTTACAATGGAAATGAAAAAAGTGACATGACCATTTTTCACACTTATGACAGCATCCCCATGTCATGTGATTTACATTCAGATGCTTGACAAGGGACTCACATTTATGACAGCTGCAGTGTCCCAGGGTCATGTGATCCCTTTTTTCAACCTTCTAACAAGCAAAGCCAAGGGGGGAACAACTGTGTTATTAACTTAACAATGGCAGTGATTCACGTAACAACTGTGGCAAGAAAGTAAAATGGGGCAAAACTCACTTAACTAATTTCTCAGTTACCAACATAAATTTTGGGCTCAATTGTAGTTGTAAGTCGAGGACTACCTGTAATTACATTTTGACAGCACTGTATTCTTCAAAACCAAACCAAACCCTACTTATTTATCTGAAATTTGATTTCTAAAAGTTGTATAGAATAGTTGGTCTGCAGAACATGCCTTCTATATTTTATCCTCCAACTTTCTTATGTTAAAGACTGATATTTATTCTCCTTTATTTCCTGTACTTTCAGAGGTCTAAGTTCCCAAACAAAAATACAATTGTGATTGGAGTCCTAGGAAAATACCTAAAGGACTTCCTAAATATTGAATTTATCCAATTTGAACATCCTGATTTTACAAAAAATACCCCATCCTGGTAAGCAACCTTTATATTTTCAGATATTACCTTAAAAATTAATAACCAAGAGATAATTCTTAGGTCTCCGGTTACTTGAATTGTTAAGTTTCCACCAGTTTGAAACTGTGAATCTAAGTCCATAATTACAATATCTTTATTATTATTAAATAGCAAGATCTGCCTATCCCAAGTTCTTGGGAAGATCTTGATAGGTGGATAAAAATGCATCTGGTTGAGTGTGCGACCACAATAATAATAAAAACCTACTTGGTTTGATATAAGGAAAAATTACTAATATATTTTTGTTAATAATGAATTCATATTTCAGAATAGATGAAACTAAAGTTTTATCATTCTTACAATCATCTTTGGAATAGTCCTTTCAATACTTCCTCCTCACCAAATTTAATAACAGCCAAACTTTTATCCTTCCTTTATTACTGTTTCAGAAAAGGAGTTTTTAAATTAATGTAGATTGTAGTCATTCACATAGCTCTATTCTTCTCGCTACAATATCTTTCCAATTTATACAATCAAAAATGAACTGTTTTAATTATGTGTTACAAAATTATAAACTCGAACTACCACATGCTTTCATATCAGTCCCCTAATTAATAACCATCTGTCAAATTCCTGTATTTGAAAGAATGTGGTCTGAATGCACATCTCATTGCTAGTTAGATTAAGAACCAAAGAAGAGTATTTCTGGTTTTAGACTTAGGAAATTAAGCACCCTGTTTCTTACAGTAGCCATCCTGAATCCATATGAAGTACAAAAATAGGACACGGGGACAAAAGCATGAACGCTCAAATTCAACAGATAATTTGTTGTACAAAAAGGGAAGATACTCATTTAATTTACATTTTAAAGCCAAACAGTCCTTTTGTGAGGGTGCAGAAAGGATAATTGTCCTAATGCATCCTTTGTGCTGCAAATAGGAATTTACCCTCAAGCAAGGTAGATCCCTTCCGCAATACAGTGATTTCCTGAGACTTTGAACCAACCACCATTAATCCCAACTGTCAGGGCCACTGACAAGGAATCGGAGAACACATGTCTGTATTTTCCAAGTACAATTCCCTCCTTTCGGACCAAGATGAAATGAAAACAAATTTGCCTTTTGATTAATGATTCCCATGCATGACATGCAGAAATCTGTTCCTACACATTGCCTTTATTTGAATTATTCTATGGCTGGGTGAAGGAAGCCTGCACACTTTGCATTTAGCCTTCTCTTTCTTTTGGCCAGGATGGTCCAGGAGCCTTCGGTCATCTTCATTTAATTCAGCCTTGCCTTCATAGAAATATCCATGTAATTTTTTTGGTACCAGTGCAGAGATTGCTTGCTGTTGTCTTTCCAGAGATTCTCCCATCTTCATGGTCTAGGTGACATCTCTACATTCCTGGAAATTTCTCATTTAAGGACTCACCAGGACTAGCCCTATTCAGCTTCCTAGTTCAGACAAAGCCATCCAGGTGCTGCCATCTACTGAGTCAAGGCAATATGAAGCTCATTTGGAATGGGGCTGAGAAAATATTCCTTAATTACTGTGCTATGCTAGCATGCTGTATTTTGAAGAACTATCCTATTTTTTAGAAAAATCAGAGGAAACATATAATACTAAAATCTTCCAGAAAGTATGTCTCCTTTTCTGTAATTTATTTATTTATTTAGTTGATCTATTAAAAAGGACGTCACCTAATCCAGCCATGGAAAAGAAATGTCACTGATATAATAACAAATGTAATCTATATATGAAAAAACAACAACATTCAATCTCCATTTACTGACAAGCAAAACCACTTTTTATCAGCTTGAGAAAACATACTGATTTGAAGAACTGGGAATCCATAAAACTGACTAGCTGTATAATTACGTATACATGAATGTTGCAAACTTAAAAAGGGAGAAAACTGTTTGATCTGATAATTATTCTTTCTACTCTCACGTATAGCAATATAGATGCGTTCAGTGAAATTATTTTCATTGTAGATATAAATTGCAACAGTAATTTCACACAAACTACAATTAGCCTTTTCCCCAGAATGAGGCCCTGTATTAGTAGCTTGGAGCACCTACTTCGCCAAGGCTTAACACAGTTATTCATACAAGCCATTCATTTAAATGACATTGAGTATAAGCCCACAGCATAACATCTCACAATATAAATTATGGAATATATTGCTATTGTTGTGTATTGCCAAAATTGCTTCTAATGAGAGGCATAACATTTGATTGAAAAATGAATAAAAAGAATATAGAGTACATTGAATAATCTGAAGGGGAAAAAGCAAAGTAGGAACAAAATGTAAAATACTGATCTTACACTTAAAAAAACCTTACTGTATATTAAATGATTTTTTTTAAAAACAAAGTTAGACGATCCTCATGCTGAAGTGGGTTTTTTTTTAATGTGTTTAAGAGCGGCCTTGAAATAGCCACACTGTATTTGCCTTCCTTCCACCTCTGCTGATATTAAATAAATAGGATGACTTGAGTCACAGTGTTCACCTGAATGAGTTCAGCTGCAGCAGCTGCACACAGTTCTTTTGCCAGCTAGATGAAGACACACTATATTCTGCATTGAACAGTAATTTGGCAGTTCACTTCAAAGAGAAAATGAAACTTTGGAAGTTTGTTTAGCAGCTTGTTTGAGGTTGACAAGGCAAAACAAACACTTTTTAAAGCAAAAGCTTCTTTTTGCTTTTATTCCTTTCACTAACAGGAGATATATATCCTGTTCATAGGGAACTATTATTAAATTTGTGAATGTCATTTAGAAAACTCTCTAGTTCTCTTTACATTTCATAAAATTACCAAAGTCAGTTACTATACAGCAATAAAGAAACCTCCATCTAAATGGTTATTCTACACATACTACATCCAAATCAAACTTTTGTAGACAAAAGTATGGTATAAGGCTATACTGCTGTGTAGAAAGGGGTTTGCACTAATTGTTCCTCATAAGAAAATTTCCCACCTGAGCTAAAAAATTTTTTGGGGAAGACCTAATTTACTATTCCTGCCATGGAATGTCTTTCTACAGTTTA